CTCATTTATCCAGGACTCAATTACCTCATCTGTAGAGTGATGGGTAATAATATTACTACATCACAGAGTTGCTGTGAACTAAGGTATGTACAGCACCTGGCACATAGTAAGTGCTATTTAAGTATTAATTATTATTATTATTAATAAGGAATCTGGAGCACAGAGAGGCTAAGTAACTGCACAATAATGGAGGAGCCAGGATTCAAAACCCAGCTGAATGTGGCTCCACAAAGCTGGTTCTTCATTGCCTAGAGCTGAATTTAGTGCCTCCATGGGCTGGCTGGGCAGCCTTCAGTGCTCCCCAGCCTCTCTTTTAGTGGCCCCAAGCCACCATCCCTGTCTGGTTAATGTATCCTCTCAGCCACCCAGACTGGGGTTCCTTTTTTCCCTCGCCTCTCCCTAAGTGTGGCAAGCTGTCATCCTTCTCCCTGAAGCCTCTGTTCTTCTCAGGGTCCTGGGGCACCAGGTCCCAGTGCCACTGGCCTTGGGGAGCCATGCATTTGGGCCACAGCTTCACTCACCTCCTTGATACCATACAGTAGGCCCACAGTCACTGCCACTACAGTGAGAGGGATCAACATGATGGCCCAGTCCAGCACAGATCCCTTCTCCTGAGGCTTTGGGCCTGAGGAGCAGAGAGGGACAGTGACTGAGGCAGGTAGGACCTCCCACCCCCCACTCCTCACTGCCCTCCATGACTTTCCATCTTTCCTTCTGTGACTCTGATGTCTATGTGACTCTAAGACCGCGTTTCTCTCTGGAATTCTCTCCTATCATCTTGGGATGAGAATCTCAACGGAGGGGGTTTTAAAGGGCTTCAATCCAAGCCCCAGTCACCTCTTCCTCAACAACTGTGGACGTGTCTGTCAGTCTCTAAACTCTTCAGTGACATCCACATCTCTCCATCTTTCTGAACCCTCCTCCGTATCTCAGGCTCCATTGTCCATGTCTCTGGATCTGTGATGTCTCTGCACTGTGAGTGTCCCAAGGGGGGGGCCTCTCTCCTTCTGAACCCCAGTCCTCCCCACCACCCCTGACGGACGCTGACTCTGGTCACTAAGGGGAGCCAGAGGCCTTGTCCTGTCTTTCCTCCACTCATCTCCTGCCCTCAGACTGCCAGAGGGCAGGCTAGGGATGAAGGGGAGGGGAGAAAGGAGACAGAAGGAGGAAGGAGGACAGGCTCTCTGGCAGGGATGATTCTTGCCCTGGAAAGATAGATTTGGCCATGAGGAAGGAAGGTGAAAACCTTTTGAGGAAGCAATCAGGTAACAGACATCTGGCTATTGGTCTGACCAGAGGCTTGAGGGGGCACTGAAACCCCTTTAAGAATTGGAGACATCTTCAGACATACTCAAAACACAGTTGGAAGCAGGCACTAAGGGTTGTCCCCACATTCCTCTCCAGGAGCCAGGGTGGCTTCAGGGGAATAAGAAAGAATGGACCCAACTAACATTTTGTTGGTAAATGACCCAATGCGAATAAGAGCGCCATACTGCTCGGGACGCTGAGCCCAGGGGAAGTGGTAGCCGCTTCAGCCTTTATGGGAGTGGAACCCCCCAAGACAGCCCCACTTGATGTGGAAGTCCTAGGCACAGCTGGAGCAGTTCCAGGGGCTGTCGTCGGGGAGAGAAATCCTAGAAGGGCATAGGGTAAAAATGGCTAGAAGAGATCCAAGCGAGAGCAGAAGCAGAAATTACATCCAATGCACCCTCGATCAAAACCCTAGCAAGTTTTTGCTTGAAATTGACAAACTGATTCTTTGAAAATGAAAGAACTGAGAACAGCCAAGACATTCTTAAAGAAAAACAAAAGTGAAAAACCTCCACTACCATATCTTGAGACGTGCTGCAAAGCTGCACTCATTAAACACTGTGGCGCTGGAGCAAGAACAGACAAATAGAAAAACAGAACAGAGTCCAGAAATAGACCCACACATATGGTCACGACTTTTGATAAAGGTACGCACACAACTCAGTGGTGGGGAGAGAGGGAGGGTCCTTGAAATAATTGGTTCTGGGGCAACTGGTTATCCATAAGGGAAAAAAAATTAACCTTGACCTCTACCGCACTCCATACACAGAAAATAATCTGAGATAGAGCATAGGCTTAAATTTGCAAGCTAAAATAATAAAGCTTCTGAAAGGACATGTAGGAGAATATTTTCACGGCCTTGAAGTAGGCAAAAAAAAAATGTCTGAGGTAGGATACAAAAGGTGCTAACCACAAGAGAAAAAGTTAATAAATTGAAAGCAAAAAGGGGAGTCCTTGTATAGCCACCAAGGCCAGGGCCCTGCTCCAGTGAGGTTCTGGGGAACTGCCGACCGTGGTGGAGCACAGGAAGCCCCCGCCCAGAGCTACAGACCTAGCTAAAGGGCTCTTCAGAGATGGACTAAGCAGCAGAAATATTACCTGGCGACGTTGAGATTGTTCCTGAAGTGCTCTCAGAAATGGTCGGAGCTAAAGTCTGAGGGCTACTCAGAAAACCCTCAGAAGTTGAAGAAACTGTTGAGAAACTCGCAGAGACGGTGGGGAGACCTGCAGAGATGGTGGGGAGACCTGCAGAGACAGTGGGGAGACTCTCTGAGACGATGGGGAGACTCTCTGAAATGGTGGGGAGACCTGCAGAGACAGTGGGGAGACTCCCTGAGACGATGGGGAGACTCTCTGAGATGGTGGGGAGACCTGCAGAGATAGTGGGGAGACTCCCTGAGATGGTGGGGAGAATCTCTGAGACGGTGGGGAGGCCTGCAGAGACAGTGGGGAGACTCTCTGAGATGGTGGGGAGACCAACAGAGACAGTGGGGAGACTCTCTGAGATGGTGAGGAGACTAGCAGAGGCAGTGGGGAGACTCTCTGAGACAGTGGGGAGACCTGTAGAGACAGTGGGGAGACTCCCTGAGATGGTGGGGAGACCTATAGAGACGGTGTGGAGACCTCCAGATACTGTAGTAGAGATTCCCAATGGGCTCAGTTGAGCTGTTGGAAAAAGAAGAAAAATTATATGATGGAGTTAGAAGAGTTCACTATCCTGGGCCCAGGGTCCACGTGTCACCCCAACGCCCCATGTCAGAGCCCCGGTGCTCACCATGTCCCGCCAAGGCCTGCAGGCCCAGGAGCAGCACCAGCGTGGCACCCATGGTGCCAGCTGATGTGTCTTTCCAGGCCCTTCTCCCTGGCTCTTTAAAGTCTTCCAGGCCTATCACAAGTCTCGGGAGAGCCAGGTGTGCCGGGGCCTCCATCAACACCAGGATCTCCATCCCCAGGGAGAGGTCACCAAGCTGTCCCCAGAGGATTAACCTGTCCCAGCCTGATCCCAGAAAGCACTGGGTGATGGGGAGAGTAAGAGCCTGAGGACTCCCCTACCTGGCCCCCGGGCACTTCCCAGACTAGGACCTGTCCCCCAGGCCCGAGGCAGGCCCCAGCGTGGACGCTCCTGGGAGAGAGGGGACCCAGGTGTCGTCTTCCAAAGGCCTCCTCTTGCTCCTAGAAGTACACCTATTGGGGGTGAGGATATATGGGTGCCTGGGGGAAGCAGGATTTGGGAGCTGGGTGGGGGTGGAGAGCATCATGGCCTGGGGACAGCATCTGACCCTTAGGAGACCCAGGGCAGGGTAAGCGGGTGAACACCTGAGCCATCTCTCCTCTAGACCAGCAGCAGCCCACAAAATTTTCTGTTCCTTTGGTAGAGAAGGGGCGAGGGGAGAAGAGGGGCACCAGGGAAGACACGCACCATGTTCAGGGACAGTGCAATGCGAAAGTTCAGGACCCAGCTCAAGAGCAGACTGCCCCAAATCCACCGTGCTGGAATCCACCACTTCCAAGCTGTGCAGACTCAGACAAATCACATGACCTACCTAAGTCTTAGTTTCTTCACCCCTAAAACAGGGTAGCCTAGTCGTCATAAGCAGTAAAGGAAACAATGTTTCTAATGCACCCAGCACACAGTGGTGTCAGCTATGATTATACGGAAAGAGTTGGGGGCATTGGCTGGGAAAGACACAGGGGTGCTCCCACTCTCAAGACTCAGATGCTCCAAAGCATCTCTCTGTGTTTCCACCTTCTACCCCCTGCTCATACCTCCTGTGTCTGCTGATCGTTTTGGCTACTTATTCTTCCCACCCTGGTCTTGCTGCTCTCCAGGGCAAGTCTGGGAGTCCCTTGATGTCTCATTTTATTTACGTTTGTAGTGTAGACCGTGTCTCCCTCCATCTCTCCATGCCGTATTTACGTTTGTAGTGTAGACCGTGTCTCCCTCCATCTCTCCATGCCGCTCGTCTTGCTTCTGGCTTCTCTCCCTGCCTCCATCCCTCTGTGCTGGGCCCACTGGTTTTCGGGGACGGGGGGAGATGATGCAAAGGGAGACGGATAGGAAGACAAAGGGCACGTGCCTTTGTGTGTTCCAGGGGGTTACATGACTTGTGTGTCTGTTGAGTTGACTGCTGTGTCCGGCATTATGTGGGATGGGTTCTAATCTCTCTGCTGCTGACTTGCTGTGTGACCTTAGTAAGTCATTTACCCCCTCTAGGCCTTAGTTTCCTAGTGCATAAAGAAGGATGGTAACTAGATGGGCTCCAGACTCCCTCGCTCTACACCTCTGTCCTTGGGTTTGCCATTCTGAGTGTCTGTGGGTGAGGGTGTTGCTCAGAGTATGAGGGATCCCTTTTGCATGAGTGCACCAGGTAGGAGGTGGGAGGATGTTTGATGGAACTCATGTCTCCACCTGAGAATCTAGGATATTTTAGAGCACCTAAAACAAAACATTCAAAGATGAAAGTTCCCCGCTGCCCAGATTTCTCACACAGAAAGCTGCTCTGGCATGGGGAGCAGGACATCTGGGTCTGGGAAGAAACTTGGCAAAATCCACCCCTCCCTTTTGGGCCCACATTCCTGAGCCCTTTGGTGGCATGAATGATGAAAATTAATTGCAGTTAATAATTAATCCCTAAAGAGCAATGAGAGGCTGGGGCCTAGGTGGGGCCTGAGTGGGGCCCAGACACCTGCAGGAGGGACACTTTCCTGGTCCCCACTCCCCTCTCAATCTCCATCTCTGTGGGACCGGGCACCCACCCCTCAAGCCTTGAAACATGGGGAAGGAGAAGGGCACAGGATTGAGGAAAGGGGACCACCCTCTATTCTCCCCAATAGCCCAGTGAATGGCCCTCTCCTGGGTCCTTGAAACCATGTTGGGAGAACTGGAAAATCCAGTTACCCAGCTTCCCCCTCCCCATTCCCCCCAAACACCTCCGCTAAGGATTGAAGGGGGTATAGAAAGGCAGGCCTGGTCAGGAGAGGCCGGCCGGGGCTTCAGACATCTCTTCTGTCCATCAAGAAGCGAGGTGGCCATGATGGGGGCCAGGCTGCCCCTTTTCCTCCTCCTGACGCTCCTCGGCAGCTCACACGGAGCAGGTGAGGGCTGGAGGGCTGGACACCTGGGTCCTCACGGCAAGAAGAGGCCAAGAAGGGGAATGAGAGAGACGGAGGCACCCCAGTCCTGAGCCCCCAAGGGTTCAGAGCTGAACCCTCTCATTAAGTGGGTCTGAAACAGCATTGCTGGTGAAGAGGAACTGGGGGACAGGGGGGCAGGAGAGGGTGCCTGCATCTCTGAGGGAATCTGGCCCTGATGGCTGGGTTCTAAGTTGTACCTTTGGATCCTTAGGGCCAGGAATGACTTTGCAACTGAAGCTGAAGGACTCCTTTCTGTCAAATGTCTCCTATGATTCCAGCTTCCTGGAATTGCTTGAAAAGGTAGTTCTTTGGCAGGGGCTGCATGCACTTGGAGTGTGTTTCTGAGTCGGTTTGGGCCTCTTTGGTGGGTCTGGCTGTCTCCGGGGTGTGAGTGACAGCCATCTTACACCTTGCCCTCCAACCCCTTCTCTCCCCTAGCTCTGCCTCCTCCTCCATCTCCCATCCGGGACCAACGTCACCCTCCATCACGCAGGATCCCCACAGCACGTCATCTGCAAAGTCTGAGAGCAGTCGAAGCCTGTGCCCCACTTGGCCCGGGCATTTGGCCCCCAAGGGTGTAGGGGGGCTGCCCTGATCCTGTCTTCCAGCAGGCCCTCACCCTGCCAAGTGGCATTAAATACACAAAATCCAATGATTCGACTTTGTGGGCTCATGAGCATAGGGCCAGAACTGGACGCCCAAGTCTCTGACTCCCCCTCTTGTTAAGCAGAGGGATTCTGGGATGGACCCTCTCTCCCTCAACACCAGTGCCTAAAGACCTAGAAAGAATCTGGGGAATTAGCTGTTTGGGGACACATGTACCAACACACACATATGCATGTACGTGAACACACACTTCAAGTGAGATCTTCAGAACCCCTGGGAAAAAAGGAAACACACACTGAATTCCTACTTAGTTCCAGACATGATGCCTTCTCATTTTGATGTTTGCGGCAATCTTGAATGTAGCATGATAGGTATCAGTATCCGATTTTACAGATGAGGAAATTGAGGCCTCGAGAGGGTAAGTCCCTCACCTGAGTCCATTAGCAGTGGAGAGGTCGACACCAGACAAATGCCTTGGCTTAAACGAGATTTTAATTTCGTCTCTTTTTGCTTAAGCTTTGGGGCTGGGGGCTCAGGAAACCAGGGATGTGGCAGGGATGTGGACAGAACACCCCAGGACATGGGCCCCTGACCCGGGGATCCACACAGGTGGGTCAGGGTGGGAGGTGGGGTGGGAGGCAGCTCAGGTGAGAGATGAGGTGTTCAGCTTGTGAGCAGTTGGCTGGCCTGACATCACTGGTGGGGAGGAGAAGAGGGTGCTGCAGATCTTGTCCTGCTAGCCAGAGGAATGTGTAGTTACACAGGCCACGCTCGAGTCCTAGGTAAGTTCCTTATCCTCTCGGAGCCTCCATTTCTTCACCTGCAAAATGGGGGTAACAATAGTGCCAGCTCATAGGATTGTTGTGAGGATGACATAGATAAGCTTCTAGGGCACATGCCACAGTGCCTGTCAGATAAGTGGGCCTGAGATTGTTATTAAGGTGGAAACCCGGTCCCAAAACATAAGTCCTAGTCCCCTCAGGGGTCCAGGGTCCTCCTGGTCCTGATTTTCTTGAGGCGGGTGCTCATCTGGCTCCCCACTCAAGATTGTCTTGACTTCTTACCACCTTTCTCAAAAGGCCAGCGTGCAGCCCAGATGTGCCCATTTGGGGGTATTGATATGATTGCTTCCTGTTCTGCACAGTACCTGCCCCTGCCTGCCATACCCCCACCCACCCACCATCACCACCATGTGAAATTGGAGACAGACTCCTTTGGAGGGAGGTGAAGACAACAGGTCAGCATGGAGCATCCCTGAAGATGAGGGATGGGAGGGTGAAAAGAAAAACTTACAAAAATCCTCTAGTTTCCTTTACAACCATCTTGAGACAATTAGCCTAGAGGAGAGGTAGTGAGGGGCCCAAAGGGCCCCAGTAATTCATGGCTTGCCCCTAGCCTGCACCAGCAGGCAGGCGACAGCTCTCTGCCCCAACACTGGCCTCCTTGCTATTCTTTGAGCACTCCAGGCCTCCTCCCATCTTGGCTTTGCTCTGGCTCTTCCCTCTACCTGGAAACTTCTCCCAGATATCCACTTGGTAACTCCTGCAAGTCTTTGCTTAAATCTCACCTTTACAAGGAGCTCTGCCCCACGATTCATCTACCACCTGCCCCCCAACACACGTGCGCCTAGGTCCCCCTACATGGCATTTATGACATCATTTTACTTATTTACATGTGTTACTTTGGACTCTCCCTGCTGGAAGGAAAGTGCTACAAGGGCAGAGACCTTTGTTTCCCTCATTGATGAAGCCAAGTGTCCAGAACAGGGCCCAGCACATAGTGGGTGCTCAAGAACTACTTGCTGAACTGGGGGAAGAGAAAAAAGAAACCACCCACCCCCTCCTTTTCTTGTTCTCTTTGGGTGGGAATGTGGATATGGCGGTGGGAGCTGGAGCAGATCTTAGACCCAGAGTTGGAAAGAGTGTAACAGAATGGCAGGAAAATAGGATTAAAACAGGCGTGGGCTCCCATTACTGCAGAGCCCTGCCCTCTTCTACCCAGCAATAGAAACGTCCATCTTGTCTAAGCCACCATTATATTTGCAGCTTGGTTACAGCAGCCAGAAAGAACCTGTACCTAATTTATTGGGTTGAATCTCAGCTGATACTTTGGCCAAGGTACTTTTATTCTCTAAGCAGGTTTCTTCATCTCTAAAACGGGGTGAACATCCACCTCATGAGGTTCTCAGGAGGATTAAATGGCACCACGGAGGACCCAGCCCTCGATAGGCCCACCATGCATAGTAGCTACTCAGAGCTGCTGGACAGAGTGTAACTCGGGTGTGGAAGGGCCAGGCCCCTGAATCCCACTGAGATGAGACAAGGCGTTTGGGGTGGGTAGGTGGGCGCCTGCGCATCTCTGAGTGTGGACCTCTGTCAGGGGCTGAGACCCGCATTCTGGTCTCAGGTGAACACGAAGAGGGGAACTCAACCCCCAGCACACCCTGCAGCCCCTCAGGCCTGGAGAAAGTCCCTGCTCCTCTCAGCACCCCTGGGGAAGGGCCAAGAAGCAGGGAAGCTTCCACTGGTGAGAAGGAGGAAGGTCCTGCAAAAGTCAGGGCACTGTCAGTAATTCTGGGAAGTAGGTGGAACCCAGCTCACTACAACCAGGCCCTACTGGAAAGTTCTTCTTACCTCCAACAAGGCAGGTACCACCCGGCACCCATACTCCCACTGTGGCCCAGAGCCTGAGGTTAAGAGGCAGCCCTCCTCTTTTCCCAGACCAAAGTCTCAGGAGGCACAAGAGTGACCACTAGAGAAAAGAGGGATAAAAGGACCACAGGCAGACACGTTTGGGATTTTAAAAGTTTATCTGAATTTCCTCATTCCCAAACTTCCAGGTGGGACTGCATAGGAGGGAGACTGGGGCAGGACCGTGAGCATCTCGAGGACACCCACAGTCACGCTGCCCGAGCTAGTCTGTTTCCTCATTTACAAAATGAGGGTGGTGGACCACATGGTCTCTGAGGCACCATCGCGCCGTGACAGCTCCTGGATCTGTTTGTCCTCAAGGGCAGGTCCAGGAGGGAAGAAAACCGCCAAAGATGGTGAGTTAGAGCTCAGGGCTCCCTGGGGCTGGGAGATGCATCCATCAGTTGCCGGAGGTGAGAGGCCGCCTCGTCCAGTTTTGACAGTTCCAATTGGAGGGAAGAAAGCTGGACGAGGAGAGAAGCAGGTGAGGAGCTGGTATGAGGCCACCCCCTCCAGCCCACCTTCCCTCAAGGAGGCGCGCTTCCTGGGTGGCCTCACCCAGCCTCACCCTCTGCTGCCCCTGAGTCTCTGCCTCTCCCTCTGATGAGCTGCGGGCCCTGAGGCCATCAAGCTGCTTCTGCAACTTGTGTCTTCGGGCAGCGAGCAGAGGTAGATGGGTTTGGGGGTCCACTAGGCCCTGCAGAAGAAGAGAAAGAAAAGGCTCAGACATCTGCAGCCTGCCCAGCACCTCTCTCATCCCCATTCTAATAAGCCCCTCCTCACTTTCATAGAACCCACCCCTTCCCCTCCTCCCAACATTCTTTTCAACCCCTTCACCCCGCCTCCACTCTCCTCTGGTCACCTGCAGCTCCATGTAGACCTGAATGGTGTCACTGAGTGAGGCCTGGGCCCAGCCGGAGGGAGCTGCTACACCTGGGGGTAAGAGGCCCACGGCCCCACAGTGGCCCAGGGTGCCCAGGGGCTCCAGGAAGGTCTCGAAGAGGCCCTGCTCTCCAGGCTCTGAGCTCTGCAGCAGCACTGGGGAGGAGAAGGAATCTGTCAGGGTCAAGGCATCAGATCCTGCCTCCTTTCCCATCCTGCACCTTCTAACTCTGGGCTCTGCCCTCTCTCCCCTCTTTCCCAGCAGCCCCTCCTTTCTGCAGGGACTTGGGAGCCCAGGACCACCTCACCTCGGGGCCGGGCCTTGGTGAGCTGGTACGTGGCTCGGAGAGCCCTCAGCACCTGCACAGCCTCCTGGACCCGGGAGAAGCGCCGTTCCAGCTCAGGCTGGTGCCAGTGCTCCTGGAGATGGGGCCCAGAGTCAACAAGCCGGCTTCTGGGAGAGTCGCTATCAACTCTCCTGGCTCTATCCTCCACCTGCCCAGCCCATTCTCCTTAGAGCAACAAATCTGTCCTCTCCACCACACACAAAATTCACCACCTCAAGGAACAAAACACAGAAAAAACTGGGGCGTCATCTAAGAAGGTCTTAGATGATCAGTGGTTGATGTCAGTTTAGTTACTCTGATTGAAGATGGCAAACAACTAAAAACAAATTAGAATTAAAAAACCAAACAAGTATAAAAGAAATTTAAATAAACTTTAAAATGATTTTTTGGGTGACTTTGTAGCATTCACTCCTCTGAAGTTATTAAAGCTTAAAACTGCACTGAGATTTTTGGGCTATCCTATTACTAACATCTAATCTTCATCACAACCATGACACGTACTATTACTATCCCCAGTTTAAGATGGGGGAAACTGAGGCACAGTCACACAGCTAGTAGGTGTCAGTCTCGTGACAGAATCCTGCTCTTACCCACTGTGCTAATACTGCCCCTAAGACAGCCCTACAGGAACAATCCATCTTCCCAAAGACTCTACAGTAAAGTACAAACCACTACTGTCAATGACCCCAAGCAGCAAACCCTTTTAGAAGACTGCTCCCCAGCCCTTCACCAGCAGTCCCACTCCGAGACACCATGGGCGTGTGACTCACCAAGCTGCGGGCACTGGGGTAGGGGGCAACAGAGATGCTAGGGGCAGGGGGGCTGCCAGGCCTGGGGGGCAGCCTCTGCCAGAGCTCTTCAGCCAGGAAGGGCATCAGCGGGGCAAGGAGGCGGAGACCGACATCAGCGCAGGAGAACAGGACCTGAGGAGGCCCTGGGGGGCGGGGCGAGTGTGACAGCACTGGCTTCACAGCCTCCTAGGGAGGAAGCCAACTGGTCAGGGGACAGTCCATGGCCACGTCCTTCCTCCATTCACTCACTGCCCTACCAGCGGGGAATCTGTGGGCGGAAGCACCATCGGCTGCCCCAGGACACACTATGGAGCACGTGAAAAGTGGAAATCCAGGGCAGGGATTCTCAGAGGTGGGTGGGGAATAAAACTGTCAGGGAGGTTTGTGTAGTTTAAAGAAAAGCCTTGAGTTTTCTGCTTATCAAAAAGGGACAGAGGTTTTTAAAAAGGTTGAGAAAAAGTGATCTAGCACAGAGGTCCTGAGCCAGCAGCATCACCTGGGACAAGAAAATTCTCGCCATCCCACCCCCAGCTTGCTGAATGAACCACTCCGGGTGGGGCTCGCACTCCTGGTGAACAGCCCTCCGGAAGATCCTCACCCAGGATCACGTGGGAGAACCCTGAGCTAAAGACCACTACTCTTCCTCCCCATCTGCTCACAGCTCCTGGCCTGCCCAGGGCCCCAACTCAGCAATTACTGGGGCTCAAAAAGGATCTCCATCTGCCTTCTGACCCTGCTTTGTCAGAGTGTTTTCTAGAAGTCTCCCCTCCTTCTCCTCTCTCCCCAGATGAGAGGCAGGGAACAGTGCCCTGGCTGCGCTGCAGAGACCAGTTCCGGGGAAGAAGGGAATTGGGACATCCCTGTCTCGTCTCCCTTCCTGTCCTAACTGAGGGGACAATCAAGAACCTAGTTGAGAGCTCTCTGCCAGGGAACTTAATTTCAGG